GGCTGGGCGAGCCCGGGGTGTGCAGAGCAGCAGCAGTGCGGCTCAGGTCTGCCCCAGTCTGCTGCAGATGGGCAGAGTCCGGCTGCCAGGCAGCAGGAAAGCCTAGGCTTGGCTGATTCCCTCCTGCTACCTCTGTTTCTTCTGGTGATGGAATGAGGGGCAAGGAAGAGAAAGGAAAACAAGAAAAAAAAGGGAAGGGGGTTGGGGCTGGAGAGGAGGATCTGAAATTAGTCAGGACTCTGATAGCTTTCCCCTGCCCCTGTTCTCCGTGGTGGGCCCCCTGTCTCCTGCAGGGTGGGGGGGGAGGGGTTGGGGTAGGAGCTGTTCCATATCTCTCAAGCCAAAAGGGGAACATGAAAATAGGCTATTGATGCGAGGCTGGGCGAGGGGAGGGAAGGATATTCCAGAGTATCTTTAAAGCTTTGGTGTCACATATGAGTTCAGAGTTATTTTTCTTCTTCATAGATCTGAGCGTCGTTACCAAGATAGTTAAGTTCCTGAATGTGGCTTTAAGACTGTTTCCCTCCCCCCCCCCCATCTTGCATGCAACCATAGGGACAAATGTGCTAATTGATGTTTAAAAAAGGGGTGAGGGGGCTATCATTCTCACCAGCTCTGCAAAGGGGCAGTGGCACTACAGACAAGCATGTGTGATGGCTTAGGGGAGGAGGCATGGCCAGCGCAGCCTTTCCCATCTCCAGAATACTTCCTAAACCAGCCCCACCAGTGTCAGCTCCGTTGCTGGGATCTATGCTGCTAGGACAGGTCACAGTCTGGGGGTTGGCTCTCTTGCATTCTCTTGTTGTAACAAAATTTGCTTCATCATAAAAATTGTCAGTATCATCAAATTGTTTACAGAGATGAAAAGGGGTGGGGGCACTCCCTGAGTGAGCCCTGTGTTGGCTCTAGCAGATATCTTAGTAGAAAAGAAATACTGTGTGTGTACGTAGGTGTGCATGCTAAGCTCTATGTAAAATGGGAGGCTGTGGGGCTTGCTCTTGTACAAGAAACCTGTGATGTATATTCAAAATAATAAATACAATGCTGAAGCATAATTTGTGGTTTATTATTTCTCTTGCAGTGGGGGCAGATGGGAGGACTGTGCTGGTTTGGGGAAGCAAAATCGTCCCTGAGCCATATCCACTTGATGGCTGCACACCAGCCACTCTCTAAAACACCCATGCCCCCTCCCCTCCTCACATTTAGTGAAGAGGAGAACAAAGATAAGGAGTGATTAATCAACTGGCTAATAAAAAAGTATAAATCCCTAGGGACTGTATGCTGCTAATGCCGGGGAGCTGGCTCAGACAGCCACCGGGAGGGACGAGTCAGCCCTCCTCTTCTCTCCTCTCCCCGAGCTGCTGCCGCACTTGGTTCATTCCAGCTGCAGAAGCTCAGAGCCCTCCATGCGGTGGGATTTTTTTCCGGGCTAAAGAAATAAAATAACAAGCCTGACCTGATTCCTCCCCCCCTTCCTCTTCCTTTCTCCTCTTCCTCTAGGAGAGTCGAGGACTATCCCAATTGTGAAGCGGGGGAAAAAACCTGATCACCACCAACCCCTGGTGCATCCCTTTCCCACTACCCTTTGACATGCAACCTTCCTTGGGATGGGACAAGCCGGGATGCAGCTGTGGCTTCAGAAGAAATTGGGGAAAACTGGGAATCTTTGCTCTCATGACAGTGGAAGTGAGCTCCTGGAGCCGGGTTCTGCTGCTCTCTGTGGGGCTGCTGGCTGTCTCAGCAACCGGTAAGTGCAATGGAGAAAGCTGGCAACTTTAGGAATATTTTTCCCCCTGCTGCTTAGATCCAAGAACCACTGTTAATCTCCTCTCTGGGGGACTTCGGGCAGGGGTGGGGTGCACACATGTGTGCCTGTTCATGCTTCCCAGTAGTGTTTAGTAAGGAGTATATTTCCTGTCGACCTCTGAGGAAGGTAGTTTCCCTTTATTATCCTTTGGGAACAACAACTTTAAATGATGGAATAATAAAAGGTGGTTTTATTTGATCGCACTTCCTTTCCCCAGTGGGTCAAATCTTTGTGCACAGTTGCTGTACAATATGCAAGATGACTGTGAAAAATACACTTAATTCATTATTTCACTACCCTGGTGTTTGCCTATTACTGATGAAATAGATTTAGGACTCCTTGCATGAAGATGGAAGCACCTTTCCTTTCTTCCTCCTGCCTTTCAAGTTGATGTGCTCTTACAGATAAGCTCTTTGACCTCGGCATCGTTATTCCTGTGATTTTTGTAAACATGCCTTTATTGACTTGGAAGATAGCAAGATACTAGAATTTGGGGGGAGTTTGCTTACATCTCCTCAGTTTCTGCAACTGCCCTTGGAGCAAAAGCATATCTAAGCGCTGGCGTTTATTTCTGATATAAACAGCAAATATTTAGGGACTGTCTTTGTGTGTTGGAGGGGGAAAAGTGGGAGAGGTAAATGTTTGGCAGTGTCTTTCAAGAGTGCTGTGCCCCGATTTCCATGAGTTTCTCGGTAACGTTTGCCTTCTGTCTGCTGCATCTTGGGCAAGATGAATGTGTGTGTGTGTTCATGGGTATGATGTCTCCATTTTTTGGAAAACTTTGTGTTAGCTGGAATGCAACACTGATTTTATTATGTAAGGCAGACTTCCTCCAGCAAGACCCAGAATAATCATTAGCTCTTCCTCCTCCTGAGGACTGTTGCAGTAGACCTGAAGAGTTTTGCTAACTGGATACATCTATTAGGGGAAGGGTATAATATCCACCAAAAAAACCCACAACACCTAATTAAGGATGATATTTTCGTGAATGTTTTCCTTTTCCAGCAGGAGCATTTAGCCTATGCATTGAGGAAAAACCATTCCAGCAGCTTCTGTTGTGCTTTGCTGGTATGAGTAGAATGATGTAGAGATACCTAAATACGTGATTTATTATGTCGGAGGTTTACAACTTTTTCTTCTGTGCTATGTGTTGGTTGTTCGTACTAGATGTTCCAGGTTTGCTTTCTGTACCTACTTAAGGATTTAATCCTTTCTGCTCAGGCACCTTGCTCCTCACTTTCTTCATTTAGAATGCTCTCTGTTCTGGATCCTTCACCTAAGGGTTGAAGGATCAACAGCTGTTCATCCTCTTCTGCACATGTAACATCTGCAAAAGCTTTTTTAGCTTTACCTCACGTTTTTATCTGCATCAGAATTAGAAATATTTGTCAATGACTCCTCTTTCCTAGTTTCTCCTCTTCCAGAGATTCTGAAATCCCAGTAATAATCTTCTTGTCAAGACAGAGGCTCACCTTTGAAATTGGTGGCTTACTGCTAGATATCCAGAACACAGTAGATAAAGCCACTCAGTGAAAACACCGAGCTTTTGCTAGTCTATTACAGTTTTAGGGTCTGATCCCATAAAGTAATTTTAGTCTGGGCTGGGACTTCTGGTACCTAAGCTGAGCAAATCATGAGCCTCTGCAGAACAAAGTTCTTAAAGTGCTTGTGTTCTAGCCTAGCCTTTTCGTATGGTTTGTATAGGTAGTAATAACCAAGAGTACCCGTAGTGTGGCAGTAGAGCTGTATATATAAAACTATCAGTTAGTAGTTCTAGCTGCCTTAAAAAGAAGGGAGAGAAATCCTACTCGTTGCATCAACTGTGTTGTGTCAATAGTCCTGTTGCCTAATGAGGTCCTTTTAAAAAATGGCTGATTTGCTGCATAGGCTTTCTTCAGATGCAACTGTATCTGAAGGCAAGATCAGATAGCTTCTACTTGCGCAAAGAATGGATGCAGCTGTAGAGAAGGCATTATTTTATGAAATGCCAAGGTTTGTTTTTTGGGGTGTAGGGTAGGAGTGTTTTATATAGTTTCCCTGTTCTTAGTGGTGCAGTAATAATTTGGCAGAGTTCTGAGATTTGCAAAGAACACTGAATTTATTCTGTAGCTGTGAGTTGATTGTGAGCTGCGCATGGTCTCTCGGAAGTATCGTGCATATAATGATTCTGAAATTTTATTTTTTGATTGTCAAAACAGGTAGTCACAGTGGGAGTGGGAATAATACCATTCCTTTCTGCTGCTGCTCCCCGGGCAATTAGCTATGAATATGAACTGGAAGGCACATTTGGTGTGCATATATAATGTGCCATTATTCACGCAGTGTCTTGCTATCAACATCCTGTTTTGTCCTGGATTATGGAAAGATGCAGTGGATTGAAAAATAGTCTAATCATTTTAAGCCCATTGTAATTTTTTCTTCATGGAAAATAGTTTCTGGTGGGAGAAGGGATGCTGTTTATGAATTCTGATGTATGTGTGCATATTTAAAAGTCATTTTGTTGTGTTCTAAATCCGTGCAGGATGATGAGAGCTTCAGGGGTACTTACTCTGCTGGGGAGCACCTTAACCAGTGAGGTAGACCAAGTGATTTGTGTAGCTTTTGTTAAGGGGTAGTGGTGTGAGATATTTTCCACTGAAATAGTGGATTCATGCTTTTGCATAGGAAGAGGGGAATAGTCACTAGGGTGATTACATTTGATTGTGGCACATGATGAAACTACAGTATTTCATGACAACAACAGCTGAGAACGTAGTTTTGAGTCAAGTCCTCCTGTCAGCACTGAGGTAGTGGGGATAAGAGTGCTAAATGGAATGAATGATTCCCATTTACTCATTCATGTCTTGCTATTGCCTTCTTTTACAGGGAGTCATTTATGGCAAATGTTTAGAGGGTGAAGATGTTTAGAGGTAGAAATGACTTAATCTTTTGCATAGGATCGGACTTGGAGAGGGTGAGCAAAACAGAAGGCTTCGTCTTGCCTTTCTACTTGCCTTGCCCTTCCTTGCCCTTGTGATTGCAGAGGAGAGGATGTGGCCTGGTCCGTAGGTTTTTCAGCACTTCACAGTGGGGGAGCACAGGTGATACTGTGATGGGAATAGGGCCCTATCCTTCCTTCTCCCTGTGCCTGGCCATGTGAGGCTAGGTGACCATATGGCCCTCAGGTTTGACTGGAGTGTAGTAAATTTACTTTCCTATCTCTTCAGTGGTGTGCACGCTTGTGAGTTCTCAGTGGAGAATGTCCAGATTCAACCTCCTTTTCACTAAGGAAGCATATGGATGGATGTATTCTTGGGTAGGGAGGGATGAGGAGAAAAAGCCCTGTTCCTTGAGCTGCCAGCCTGAATCCTTTGCTATATTTTGTATTTGGGATACCAAAATGGGAGTGCAGATGCATTGAACTTACTAGTAAGACTGTGTTGCACAGTAACTATGATTCTGCTTCAAGCTTGGGACTTTTGGGTCGCGGTCCCTACGGTGGCACTGTTTTGTTGCTTCACCTTAGGCAAGCCATTTTATTTTTGCCTTCTCGTTCTTTATGTTGACTAATAACGTCATTGGGCACAGGAAGCTTTCCCTTGCCTTATAATTGTTCATTGCTTGTCACCCTGATTTTTATCAGGGCCATTCAGCACTGCTAAGACACATCTAAGCTTAAGCCTTCCTTGCCACCAAGCCCAGTCTCTGTCTGGGCTTTCTTTCTGGGGAAATTTTATATTCAACTAGTTGATGGTTCCCAGTTGAGCTAGTCTGCAGCGGTATAGAGGTGGATATCTGCCCAGCTGATCTTCAGTGACTGCCTTCCACTTGTCTAGAAGCGACTGTCAAAAGGAGGCACGTGTCAAAATGGGTGCAGGGAACATGATCCAGGCAATCTGCTATGGATCCCAGTGGGGAGACACTCTGCTGAAGTGGTTCAGGGCATAACTGAGCACCAAGTGATCAGATGATCATTTGTAGTATCCCTGTTGTAGAGAACGTGTTTTGCTATGCAGAAGTGTTTTCCTCATTAATCTGCTTGCAAGGACAGATGAAAAATAGTTTTTTCTTCCTTTAAGTTTGCTGTTAACCACCTGTGCTCCAGGGATTTGCCACTACTGAGTTACTGTGCACCACTTGATGCCTTATTTTTTTCCTGAGAGGCTGGTGGTTTGTGAAATGCCACATTCCACAGCTGTGCTGCTGCTGCCTGCCCTCCGGTAACTATTACAAAAGTTTTATGTGGGTGTTGACCAGAGGAGAGCACTATCATATTATTAATGGTCAGAGAGGTTTGGGAGAAAGGCAGGCAGCCTAAACTCAATAACATTGATTTTTATAACATCCAGCCATAGCAATAATGCACTTCTGGAGAGTTGATTCAAGGCTGAAGGATGAGTCTCATCTCTGAGCTGCTTCTGTCAGGTGTAGCCAAGCCTTTTAGCTACTTTTCTAGTAATGAGACCACCATAGGAGATGGAAAAGAAGCACAACTCTCTGGTTAGTGCAGGACAGGATTTGGACTTGAGTTTTCTGTTATGACTCTGCAGATAACCTTTTGACTGACCGTTCCCTCTTGCTTCATAGGTAACGTAGAAGATGGATTGCAGTGCATATACCAGAAGGGTACTGCATGGGTAAAGTTGGATCTAAAGATTTTTGGAGGAAAGCTGCAATAGGTGTCTTTGACAAAAGTACTATAAGGGCCTGAGACTTCAGAAAAGTCTTACCAATCTCTCTTTTTACCCAAAGTATATTGTATATTGCTGCTTATTGACGTGTTGTCTATAGAAATATATTTATCAAGAAATCCAGTAATTTGCGCACTCATTTGTCATCTAGATAGTACAGTGCTAAGTCCAGGCTGTGAGGTTTGTCTGGTACCATCCAGTAGCTTCATGACATCTTTCAGAGTAGATGCAGCCATAGAATTAAGTTAAAAGGACTCTTTTAGCCTGTGT